AGCCTGGCAACAAAGTGAGACCCTGTCTCTACAAAATATTGTAAAAAATGAGCTAGACATGGTGGTGTACGCCTATAGTCCTATCTACTTGGAAGGCCGAAGCCAGAGGATCCTTTGTGCCCTGTAGTTTGAGGCTGCAGCTAGCTGTGATCGCACTGCTGCTCTCCAGCGTGGGCGACAGAATGAGACCCTCAAAAGAAAGAATAGGAAAATGATGGGTTAAAGATGTAGGGAGGTCACATCGTCCTGTTGTGGGGAGTTGAGGGAAAGGAAAGACGATGTGGCTGACAGTCTGGCAGGTATCTGGGTGAAAACAAAATTCTAGGGTTTGAGGCAGAGAGGTTGACATAGAGAGTTGGGAATCCATAAGGGGTACAGGTAGTTTACACCATGGAGGTAAACTAGAACCATAAATGACAATTGCAAACATATATATAAAATTGAACAGTGAGGAAAACGTTATATAGGAGGAGGAGCCAAATGGAACTGATTGGAGGGGAAGAAGACAGATGAGTAGTTAAAGAAGTTCAGGGTTGGCCGGGCGCAGTGGCTCACACCTCTAATCTCAGCACTTTGGGAGGGCAAGGCGGATGGATGAAGAACCATCCTGGCTAACACGGTGAAACCCCATGTCTACTAAAAATACAAAAAATTAGCCGGGCATGGTGGCAGGCACCTGTAATCCCAGCTACTTGGGAAACTGAGGCAGGAGAATTGCTTGAACCCAGGAGGTGGAGGTTGCAGTGAGCCAAGATCGAGCACTGCACTCCAGAGTGAGACTTCCTCTCATTAAAAAAAAAAAAAAAAAAAAGGATTGGATGGTTTTCAGTGGTTCTTAACTTCAACAGAGAGATTGAGAAAGAAGATAACAGAAAATGGGACATTCATTGATACTTTAGTAATTGGAGGGTACATTTTGAGTGTTAATAAGTCAAGAGGGGGAGTCATATTTTCAGGGGCAAAAGAATGTATTGGTAGGAAGAAGATATAGGCAATATAGTTTACTAGAGCAGTGCTTTATCTAGCAGAACTTTTGGTAATGATGTCCAGTACATTAGCCACATGCGGCACTCAAAAACGTGGCTAGTGTGGTTGAAGAGGCTAAAGTTTAATTAGTTTCATTGTAGTTCATTTAGATTTAATTAACTGCCTGTGGCTAGTGGCTATTATATTGGACAACACATTTCTTTTTTTTTGGATGGAGTTTCGCTGTTGTTACCCAGACTGGAGTGCAATGGCGTGATCTCGGCTCACTGCAACCTCTGCCTCCTGCGTTAAAGCAATTCTCCTGCCTCAGCCTCCCGAGTAGCTGGGACTACAGGCACGCGCCACCATGCCCAGCTAATTTTTGTATTTTTAGTAGAGACGGGGTTGCACCTTGTTGACCAGGATGGTCTCGATCTCTTGACCTCGTGATCCACCCACCTCGACCTCCCAAAGTGCTGGGATTATAGGTGTGAGCCACCGTGCCTGGCTGACAACACATTTCTAAATATTTATATTCTGGACAGAAGAAGTTGGCTTTGACATGAAGAAAGGCTTCTTAGAAAGGAATTAAGAGAGAGAGATTAGGAGAAAAGTAAGGTGTTATATCTCTGATTTCTGGTATCTCCTGTTTTCCCTGTGGTATGACTAGTGTGAGCAAGGAGAGAGACCAACAAGCTGGGGTAGCAAAGTGAACGATGAAGCACTATGTAGTGCTAACTTCATTCCTTTGTTTAAGGCTCAATATCTGCAGAAGTCATCCTGTGTTACTTGAGCCTGCACTAGTATGGGGGTGAAGCCAAGCTTCAGAGCAAAACCCTTGGCCCCTTAATGATTCCCCCTCCTCTTAATTTCTAAGATCCACAGGCCCATTTTGCTCCTCCTTGTTTTTTTTTTTTTTTTTAATTTTTCTTTTACTCTCCCTGAATGCTCGGGGAGACCAATTTGAGTAATAAAATATTCCTTGTTACCATCATTGAGATAAGGAATAAAATGTGGTAACTCCATGTTATCTGATGGATGCAACTGACCTATTCTGTTTGGCAGCTTTATCTTAGCCCTACCCAGTCTCTTCCTTTCACATGGTATTAGTTGAATACTATCCAGCTCCATGGAGTTGTTCCTCCCCCTCCCCCCCCTTTTTTTAAGATGGAGTTTTGTTCTGTCACCCAGGTTGGAGTGCAGTGGTGCAATCTCGGCTCACTGCAACCTCCAACGCCCAGATTCAAGCAATTCTGCTTCATCCTCCTGAGTAGCTGGGATTAAAGGCATGTGCCACCACGCCCAGCTAATGTTTGTATTTTTAGTAGGGACAAGGTTTCACCTTGTTGTTCAGGCTGGTCTCGAACTCCTGACCTCATGATCCACCTGCCTTGGCCTCTCAAAGTACTGGTATTACAAGCGTGAACCACTGTGCCCGGCCATGGGGTTCTTAATCAGGTATAGCTGAAAAGAATATTGGACCAAATGGATTCTCTGCCTTGCCTTTTTGTTTGTTTTGTTTTATTTTAGCTATTATCAGGGAACTAAGAGCTTTAACTAAGGAGCTAGTACTGATCCTTAATTTTTAATTATTAGAGATAGTAGAGTTAGAAGCTAAGTTCAAAGTTAGAGAACAGCTACATTTGTCTTCCTGACCTCATGCAATCCCTAGGGAACTCTGTTTTCTGAAATTTAGTCAGGCAATAATAAAATGCTTTCACTCCTTCTCTGTCTCTTTATTTCTTCCCTAAATGGAACAGAACTCTCATTGACCAGGCTATTTTGAGAGATAAAGATCTTTATAACATCCTTCTTTCCCAAGTGAGAATCATGCAAAACAACTTAGATACAGATCTTCTCTAAGTTCAGTCTGTTCATGAGATTTGTATGAAATGTAACATCACAGGAACTTTGAGAGATTAGTTCACAAATTTCAATACCTGTTATTTTGACAAGGATGCCTCAGTGTATAAGACTGGTTCAATCCGAGACCTCATGAAGCTTATACACTATTAGTACAGTTTTGAGTATACCTTATTCAAAATACTTGTGACCAGAAGTGTTTCAGATTTTCACTTTTTTTTTTAACATTTGCATTATACTTACCAGTTGAGCACCCCAAATTTGAAAATCAGAAATTCATACCAGGCATAGTGATACAAACCTATAGTCCCTACTCAGGAGACTGAAGCGGGAGGGTTGCTTGAGCCCTAGGAGTTTGTGCACTATGATTAGGCCTATTAATACTCACCACACTCTAGCCTGGACAACATAATAAGACCTTGTCTCTAAAATACACACACACACACACACACACACACACACACACACGTGTATCTAAAATCCAAAATCCTCCAATGAGCATTTCCACTGAGCATCATGTTAGCAATCAAAAAGTTTCAGATTTTGGAGCATTTTGGATTTGGGATTTTGGATTTTCAGATTTGGTTGCTCAGCCTGTATAGTCTTTCTCAATGGCGAATGTAACAGATACCTATATGGGCCTTCTAATCATTGTGATATCAAAACCTCCCACACATAATTAAAATCTCTCCTGAAAGAGAGGAGTGCTCAATATCACCCCTATTGAGAACCACTTGTTTAAAGGGAAATGCAAGTTAAATGTTCACCCTGATTCTGCTCTTTAATACAGCTATTATTTTTGGGCATTCCCTCCCAGGTTTTTTATACATATATGCTTTCTGTTTTGATAGTGTACATAAAGTGGCAATTATTACTGGGATCATACTGGCCTCTAGCTTCCTGGTCAGTCTTGGGAAAGCCTCAGCCCAGAAGGCAGGGTGCCTGAGCAATGCCCACATATGCAGATGATTTTAGGACAGAAAAGTCTCTTTTTCATATTTGAGGTCATGAGACCATTTTGAAAGGGGCTGTAAAATATAGGGAGAAACTTATTTGTGAATTTCAGAGGTTGATACTAGGAATATACCAGGAGTTTGATTTTCCTGTCTCCAAACTTATGTTATCTCTGTGCTAGTCAGATGGATTTGAATCTCTCATATCCCATTATCTCTTTAAAGTGTGCTTCAAATAGAAAATCCAGATAAACCCATTAGATTTGAGCACTTAGCTGCTTGTATCAGGAATACTTGCTAACTTGTCCCTTAGCCTGATTTTGTTTTTAAAAAATAAAATAAAATAAAAGAAATAAACAAACAGCTAAAAATAAAATAATAATAAACAGCTTACTAGTAACTTAAACAAACATGGGATTTTTTTCTTTTTTTTTTTTTAATCACATATATCTAGCCATGAGCAACTGTGGCCAGCTAAAGTCTTCCCAGAAGCCCCCGGCAGACTATCTTTCTACATCTCATTGGTTAAAACTGGATCACATGATCACCCCTAGCTGCAAGGGAGGCTGAAAAACAACAGGGTAGTCTTGATTAGCTTATACCAGTAATTTGCTTTCCCTGGGACTAGGCACACTATTGACTCTAACAGGTTTGAGGTTCTTTTAAAGAAGAAGAAATTGAATTTTTATTGGCGAGGCCACTAAAATCGGTCTATCACACAATAACTGTAACAAGAAGCATTAGAAAGTACAGGAGTGAATGGGTGTGGGGATATTTATTCCAGTCTACCGTTTATAATGCCGTGTTGAAATGCCTTCACAGAAAAAATGTTCAGCTATTCACTTCCGTTGCTTTCAAACCCTGATTGTGAACACATTTCTCCGAAGCCGGCTATATTACTTCCTTGGCCATTTCCCTTGTTTCAGTTTCTCAACCCAGGGAATAAATACTGTGAAGAGGGTATTTTTTCTCCCTCAAGATGTTGTCCTACCAACTCGTCAGTCCAACTTTCCTCTGTTGGTCTTTCCACCAACTGACTGACTCTCTATCTGAATCCTCCTTGCATCCACCCTGCCTTACAGATGCATGTTATATATGCCAGCTAGTTGAAAGACTCATAATTTACTTCTGGTATTCTACTAACTTTCCCTTTTTCTCTTTCTCCTCCTCTTTTTCCTCTCCTTCTCTTGTGTTCCCTCCTCTCCGTTGCTGCTGCAGAGCGTCTCTACAGCCAACTTGAGCGAAACCGCCTGCTTTCTAATGAGCTGAAGCTAACGCTGCATGATCTGTGTGACTGATGGGCAGGGCTCACTGATGCCCATTAAACTGAGCTTACTGCTCACACCACTGACCTGGACCCCAACAAAAAGCTGATTGTCTTTTTAAAAGTTATTATTTTCCCTGAGCACATTGCTTTTTAATTGGGGCAGTTAGAATGTTCATTTCCTAACAGTATTGTGAAATTGACCATTGTGAAGTTTCTGACCCTTTAGAAGAGATTATGGGTGAAGAAGGGAGGGGCCTGAGAGATTATAGTGAGAAAATTTGGGAGAATATTGTTTTCCACCCTTACTTGCTACTCTTTCATTTGTGCACTCAGTGTAGGATATGTTCCTTTTCATGGATATTTCTAACAATAAAAGGACTGACTTGACAAGTTGTTGTAACTGCTTCATCTGCAGGCCCAGAGATGGGTCCTTCTGACTGGGTGGAAAAAAAGGGAAAGGGAAGAGAAGTTGTGGGATATGAATATGGTTCTGTGTTGCCATCACCTCTGAGTTGAAGATTTTACTATTTTCCTCACCTCATTAGAGCAGTCAGAGTGGTTTGCTTGCTAGACAAATTAGATTCTCCTTAGTGTTCAGCTGCTGATTTTCTTCCTGACATTTTCCCTTTTGCTTCCTTTTCCTGGTTTTATGTTTAATTTCAAGTAACTGTCACAAGCTAGTTCTGGACAGTAGCTCTATAGCAATCTCAAAGTTTTGCTTACAACTACTTGTTTCAGTAGTATTGTTGGCTTTGTTTTCTTTAGAGATTATTTAACTTAACTGTGAGGGCCCTTTTATTTATCCCACCAGTTGTTATTTTCTCCTCTACTTTTTGGAAAAAAACGTGTAGTGCATGAGGATCTTCCTGTGCTCTTTATAATTTGAGATTCTGATGTTTCTATTGTTTGCAATGTTCAAACTCCAGTGAGCCATTTCAAGAAGGTATTGTCATGTGGGCAAAACCTAGAAAAGTGGATAGCTGATGCTTAAGGCTTGCTCTTTCATTGACTGAAAGCTGAAAGTGTTGGTTAGGTGTGGGTGGGAGAGGAAATGGCTGATAAGGGACCTAACTCTCTCACCCAGGAAGTGCAGGAACACCTACAACCTCAGTAGGCAAGCCAAAGGCCCTACAAAACCAGGTGATAAAATAGCTCACTTCTGTGGCTGAGAAAGCAGCTGCTTTGTTAGTCCGCAGCTTTTCTGCAATAGGAGCAGGTCTCAAAAGAGTGGGCAGACCTTGAAATTTACTTCTCGTTTTCTGTAACTTCTCTCCTTTACCCCCATTAGATAAACTGAAATGCACCAAAGAGGAGCACCTCTGTACACAAAGGATGCTGGACCAGACTCTGCTTGACCTGAATGAGATGTAGAACGCCCCAGTCCCACCCTGCTGCTGCTTCTCCCTCTGACCCTGACTCCGCCTGAGGCCAGCCTGCCCGAAGCTGACCTTAACTGAGGGCTGATCTTTAACTGGAAGGCTGCTTTCTCCTTTCGCTGCCCCCTCCTCCCCTGTGTCTTATTCGCCAAACTGTCTCTGCCTCTTCCCTGGAGATTCCAGCTGGGCTAGAGGCTGAGCACCTTTGGAAACAACATTTAAGGGAATGTGAGCACAATGCATAATGTCTTTAAAAGCATGTCGTGATATACACATTTTGTAATTACCTTTTTTGTTGTTTTGTAGCAACCATTTGTAAAACATTCCAAATAATTCCACAGCCCTGAAGCAGCAAGCTAATCCCTTTCTCACTTTTGGAAGGTGACTTTTCAGCTTGATGCATATTGCCCTCTCCATAGAGGAGAGGAAAAGGCACTGCCTTATTGAGAGCCAAACAGAGCCCAGGGAAGGACTCCACTATGGGAAACCTCATTGCTCTGTACAAAGTACCAGCTAAACCAGAAAAGTGATTCCAGGAGGAGTTAGCCAAACAACAACGACAAAAATGTGCTGTTCAAGTTTTCAGCTATAAGATCTCTTTGGACAACATTATTTCTATTTTTTATTTTTTCATTACAAGTGACCAAATTAAGATGGTAAGATCTCTGAGACCAAATTTTTGTCCCATCTCTACTCCCTCCCAACTGCTTACAGAATGAATCATGTGCCCCTTATGTTGAGATGACCACTTAATTGCTTTCCTGCCTCCTTGAGAGAAAGAAGATTGTTTTTGCCACTGATTTAGCCAGATGAAACTCATCTCATTACCCTTCTCTGGGTTTGAAGCTGCTGTCTCTAAAAAGTGCCATCTCATTGTGCTTTGTATCAGTCAGTGCTGGAGAAATCTTGAATAGCTTATGTACAAAACTTTTACAATTTTATATTATTTTGAAACTTTGCTTCTTTGGATTTGCGGCACCCTGGCCACCCCATCTGGCTGTGACAGCCTCTGCAGTCCGTGGGCTGGCAGTTTGCTGATCTTTTAAAGTTTCCCTACCCGGTCCCCATTTTCTGGTAAGGTTTCTAGGAGGTCTGTTAGGTGTACATCCTGGAGCTTATTGGCTTAAAATGTACTCTCCTTTTATGTGGTCTCTTTGGGCCGATTGGGAGAAAGAGAAATCAATAGTGTAACTGTTTTGATACTGAATATTGACAAGTGTCTTTTTGAAATAAAGAACCAGTCCCTCCAACTCTCAGACCTATTTGACTTTTATTTATTAAAACCAAATGTGTTTTCTTCATAGAAGCTATGTTTGGGTTAAAAATTGCATCTTTGCCTGGACGTGGTGGCTCACGCCTGTAATCCAAGCACTTTGGAGGCCAAGGGAGGGTGGATCACCTGAGGTCGGGAGTTCAAGACCAGCCTGACCAACATGATGAAATCTCGTTTTTAAAAAAAAAAAAATCCGCATTTTTGTGGGTGGTAGCAACAAGATTTAATGTAGAGCAAATGTTTAGTTTCATCATCTGTAAAATGAAGGTAAATATTGTCAGAGTAAACGAAGATTAGAATACTTAATGTATCGGATCTTTTATAGGTTAACACTGGCATCTACGGTTGAACTATATGTTTTGCTTCACAACCATATTAAATCTTTTTTTTTTTTTTTTTTTGAGACGGAGTTTTGCTCTGGTTACCCAGGCTGGAGTGCAATGGCGCGATCTCGGCTCACCGCAACCTCCGCCTCCTGGGTTCAGGCAATTCTCCTGCCTCAGCCTCCTGAGTAGCTGGGACTACAGGCGCGCGCCACCATGCCCAGCTAATTTTTGTATTTTTAGTAAAGACGGGGTTTCACCATGTTGACCAGGATGGTCTCGATCTCTTGACCTCATGATCCACCCATATTAATTCTTATAAGCTATGGATTTATTATGGTCTTTAAAACAATATATGATGCTGGTCACTACTATAAATGTATGGTTTTAACCAACTGTACTGTGAAACAGCCTTTGAGTTATAATATTCTGTTTGGATATTTGGAGAAAAGTTAACAAGAAGTGCTCTCAGAGTATCTGCTTAGAGGCGGGCTGTATGAGTGGACAACTTTCAAAGCTGCCTTTGAGAGGCCAGTGTCCGTTGTTTCCTGCACTGTGGCCTGGAGGCCGGATGCGAATCTTCTAGTTAAATTACACGGTTCCTTTGACAAAGTCCAGCCGTTTATCCCAGAGACTGCACAATTTTCCATTTATACGCATGGGCCAATGCTGACTGGAAATCATTGCAAAAAGCTTTTTTGTCGGGCGTGGGGTGTGATGTTGAGCCAAACGGTGTGCAACAGAAGAAATAAGACTGGAAGAAATTAAAGTACTGTCCGGGTGCAGTGGCTCACGCCTGTAATCCCAGCTACTCGGGAGGCCGAAGTTTTTTTTAGACTTTTCTGCTTGTTCCTTACTGTTGAAAAGATCTGCCATCCATTATTTAGGAAAGCCCTTTAAGAGGGTTTGAGGTGTTTTAGCTGGGTTTGTGCCAAAAGTTTCCATTTTATTGGCTTGCTGAAGGACTGCCTTTAAAAATGCCCACAATTCCGAGCAAGAAGCAGGTCCCACCCCCTCTGCTGACGTCACACCTGTAGATTGGCAGATGGAGCTGTGGGCGCGGCCTGAGTTGAGCGGGAACCCGAGACTTGGCAGTTGCCATGTCTGGCTGTCCGGCGTCCTCTAGACGCCGAGGCTTCGGGCTCTTTTTCTTGCCTCTACGCTGCCTCCTGTTGTTTCTGGTTTTGCCTGGGACCCTGGCCTACAAACTTAACGTGCCACAGGTGTTGCTGCCCTTCAGCCGGGAGTCAGGCCGGGAGCCTTTCCTGCTGGAGGCCCAGCGGGGCTGCTACACTTGGTGAGGGGTGGTGGGTCACAAGGAAATGAACCCTCACATCATCCAGTAGGGGTGAGAGGGGTACCCTCTGTAAGATCACCCGGGAATACCGTGTGGGCCCGCGTGAAGGGACCTAGCCTGTAGGGGAGGAGAGTGTGGTGTCAGTGGGGGGGGTGTGGGGGGCAGACCCTTGGGCGTGGCGTATCCTACTCGTGGGATATCCTCCAGGGGTGTGACGATCTTCCAGACGTGTGAGGGATTCTCGGGTTGTGGGACTGGCCTCTCTGTGTGTGTTGGGAAGGGGCGGTCACTATGAGTGGCCGTCAGGGTAAAGGGAAGCCCTGAGTGGGAGGCCAAAGTAAACAACCAGTAAGGAAGTTCCCGATATCTGAGGACATTTCTGTAAGCAGGAAGACTTGGGGTGTGAGGGTCCCCACTAACTACAGGTGAGCTGTTCAATCTGAGGAGGACTTAAAACACAACAGCCAAGTATTGAGTGTTAACTAAGTACTCTGTGTTAACTCATTCACTGTTTACAGCCTCGTGAAGTGAGTACTATGACTCCATTTCACAGACGAGGAAAGTGAGGCCCAGAGACAATGAAGCGTAAACTTCTGGGAATATGAGGATTCATCTTGGGTGGAGATGAGATCTGTCTTTATTATCAAAATTGTCCCATTTATAAAAGGGTACCCACTTGAAGGAAGAGGACAAGGGGGTACACACAAGTCTGGGATAATGACTTTCTGACTGAAGATGAAGAGACGTGATTTTCTGGTGTGAGAGGACCCAATCATGGGTTATGTGGTTGCCTAAGGTGTGGGAGAACCTAACTGAAATGAGCTTCAGGAGGCCAGTGCATTCATCCTAAATGGAGTAGATATCCTTTTGCCATTTCCTAGGAGAAGCAATGAGGTTTGTTCAGAGCATAAATTCACCTCTCATTTAGTGGGCTTGTAAAGATGATTCAGTGTGATGTTTATGTTTCCTGACTGATGGTGATGCAAGGCATCTTTCCAGCATTGAAAGCCATTCCTTCTATCCCTCCAAAAATAATCCTGAGGCCAGGCATGGTGGCCCACGCATGCAATCCCAGCACGTTGGGAGGCCAAGGCAGGAGGATTGCTTGAGGCCAGGAGTTTGAGACCAGCCTGATCAACATAGTGAGATGTCTCTATTTAAAAATAAAAACATTCGTCCGGATACAGTGGCCCACACCTGTAATCCTAGCACTTTGGGAGGCCCAGGTGGGTGGATCACGAGGTTAGGAGTTTGAGACCAGCATGGCCAACATGATGAAACCCTGTCTCTACCAAAAATATAAAAATTAGCCGGGCATGGTGGCACGGGCCTGTAATCTCAGCTACTCAGGAGCGTAAGGCAGGAGAATCGCTGGAACCAAGGGGGCAAAGTTGCAGTGAGCCAGATCACCCCCCTGCACTCCAGTTTGGGGGACAAAGTGAGACTGTCTCAAAAACATAATAAAAATAAAAACATTTATGAAATTTTTTGGTATTTTGAGTTGGACTCATACCTCATAATTTAGGTAATTTTTCCATGCTAGATATCAGCAGCCTGGGGATTGAAGGAAACTTTCCTCAGCGTATGAGAAAGTCCCACCTCCTTCCTGGAAAGACGCCAGTCCTATTTCTGCACACTGAGGGAAGAATATGACAATCTTTTTGTGTGTGTGTGTGTATTTTTAGTAGAAATGGGGTTTCACTATATTGGCCAGGCTGATCTCGACCGTCTGACCTTGTGATCCACCCGCCTTCGCCTCCCAAAGTGCTGGAATTATAGGCATGAGCCACCGAGCCAGGCCAACAATCTTTTTAAAAAAATTATTGAGGGAGGGATATTTCTGAGCCTTTGCTCAAGGGATCATTGGGAAAGTTCTGATCAATTTCTCAAATTCTTTTTTTTTTTTTGAGGTGGAGTTTCAGCTCTTGTTGCCCAGGCTGGTGTGCAGTGGCACCATCTCAGCTCACTACAACCTCTGCCTCCTGGGTTCAAGCAATTCTTGTGCCTCAGACTCCTGAGTAGCTAGGATTACAGGCGTGTGCCACCATGCCCAGCTAATTTTTGTATTTTTAGTAGAGACGGGTTTTTCCCTGTTGGTCCAGCTGGTCTCAAACTCCTGACCTCAGGTGGTCCACCCGCCTTGGCTTCCCAAAGTGCTGAAATTACAGTCGTGAGCCACCATCCTTGGCCTATCTCTCACTCTAATTTCTTGTATCCCTAAGCAATGGTTCTGCTTTAAAAAGTGTCATTTACATATACCTGGTAGTATGTAACATGGGAGAAGTATGAGAATCTATGTTCCAACAAAAGTTAATTTTAATCTACGTATTTCATACTCTTAAGAGTTTTGTTCTGGCAGGCATTCCACCCATCATGATGCAGTTACTGTTGAACCTTTATATGAAAATGGCACCTTGTGTTCCCAAAAAGCAGTACTCATTGCAGAATCTACCGAACCAATACGCCTCAGCAGTATTATTCTTGCTCGAGAAATAGGTATGTTGAGAATAAAAACACTATCACTTCATCTGGGGTAGAATAATCTGGTATTTTGTATAGATGGTTAACACAAATGATATTGGCTTCAAATGATAAGAGGAAGAATAAAGGATTTCTGGCCAGCTGCAGTGGCTCACGCCTTTAATCCCAGCATTTTGGGAGGCTGAGGCAGAAAGACTGCCTGAGCTCAGGACTTCAAGAGCAGTCTGGGTAACATAGTGAGACCTGTCTCTACAAAAAATAAAAAATTATGCCCAGGTGCAGTGGTTCACCTCTGTAATCCCCCCCCATTTGGGGAGGCCAAGGTAGGTGGATCACCTGAGGTCAGGAGTTTGAGACCAGCCTGGCTAACATGGTGAAACATCATCTCTACTAAAAATAGAAAAATTGGCTGGGCATGGTGGCAAGTGCCTGTAATCCCAGCTACACCAGAGGCTGTGGCAGAAGAATTGCTTGAACCTGGGAGGCAGAGGCTGCAACGAGCCAAGATCTTGCCATTGCACTTCAGCTTGGGCGACAGAGCGAGACTCTGTCTCAAAAAAATTAAAAAATAGGCTGGGTGCGGTGGCTCACGCCTGTAATCCCCGCACTTTGGGAGGCAGAGGCGGGTGGATCACGAGGTCAAGAGATCGAGACCATCCTGGCCAACAGAGTGAAACCCCATCTCTACTAAAATATAAAAATTAGCTGGGCATGGTGGCGCGTGCCTGTAGTCCCAGCTACTTGGGAGGCTGAGGCAGGAGAATTGCTTGAACCCAGGAGGTGGAGTTTGCGGTGAGCCGAGATCGCGCCATTGCACTCCAGCCTGGGTAACAAGAGCGAAACTCCGTCTCAAAAAAAAAAAATAAATAAAAAGTAAGTAAAATAAAAAAATAGCTTGGTGTGTGGTGCACCCCTATAGTCTCAGCTACTTGAGAGGCTCAGATGGGAGCCTCCCTCCTCAGGTGGGGGGATTGAGCCCAGAAGATCAAGGCTGCACTTAGCTATGATCACACCATTGCACTCCAGTCTGGGTGGTAGAGCAAGACCCTGTCTCAAAAAAAAAAAACAAAAAAAACCCCACCAAAACCACCCCTGCAATATACACCCTAATTGTAGCACCCTATTAAATGACTTTTTTTTTCCTTTGGTATCTAGTACCTGGCGTGGTACCTGAGACCGTGGAAACTCTAGTTGTTTGAATCAGTGAAGGAATCATCTGGAACCAACTTAGGTGTTAAGGTCTGAGGTTGGTTTGAGTAAGGCAAAAGGCAGTACAAAAACTAGTACTTGTCAAAGTGTAGGCTATGAATGTGTATCAGCATCACCTGCATCAAACAGGAGCTTGTTAGATATGTAAATTCTCAGGCTCCATCTTTTATCTTTTTTAAAAATTGTACTTTAAGTTCTGGGATACAGAACGTGCAGGTTTGTTACATAGGTATACATTTGCCATGGTGGTTTTATACATTTGCCATGGTGGTTTGCTGCACTTATCAACCCATCATCTAGGTTTTAAGCATCTTTTATCTTTTATATTAGAATCTCAAGGGTGAGCCTTGAGGGTTCTATGTTTTAACAAGCTCTCCAGGAGATTCTCATACATACCAATACTAAAGTTTGAGAAGCACTAAACTAGTCTGTTTTAGTCTAGAACAGCTCAGGAAATAGTATTGTTTACATAGCAGAACAGCAGTCTTTGTATTCCTGATTTTCTGGCATTTCATTGCCATATTGCCTAATGGCTGAAAATATCTCTATGGCTTCTAAATGTGTGCTTTTTTTTTCTTTCCTCATTTCAAGTTTTAATCAAAGCTTGTATATAAGATTACTTTATTCCTGCATCGTCTCAAGTTTTTCTTCCTTGTATTTGCCCTTTTCCTTTCCTACTTGGTGAGGTTTGGCTTTCCGCTCAAGGATCTTTTTGCCGTCTCTGTCCGGTTTTAGCCTAGTGATAACCACCTTGCTGGGATGAATGCCTATGTGGACAGTCGTGCCGTTAGCCGTTTCCCGCTCCACCCGTTCAATATAGAGTACATATTTCTTCCTGTAAACCTGAACTACTTTGCCAATCTGCTGACCTTTATAGTGTCCTCGTACAACCTGAACTTCATCACCCTTTTGGATGGGCATGGATCGCACGTTGTACTTCTGTCTCAGCTCCTTGGAAAGAGGGGAAGACATAATCTTCCTGCAAATGTGGGAATGTGCATTGAAATGCCTTTTGCGATTCTTGCTTCCGTCGGAAGTCACAAAGGGATTGAACTTCATTTTGGCAGTCCCCGCTTAGGTGATGACCACAAGAAGGCAGTTTTTTTTTAAAGATAATTTAGTCTACAGTATTTTTATTATTAAACATTTTGATAACTAATTTATCTATAATAGTTTATTAAATAGAACTTAGGATGTTTGGTTTACTGTATTTCATATGATTGAAGATGCCATCTATTATAAAGCGCACCATTACTTTATGTACCACTAGGAAAGAAAAACATTGCTGACTGGGCGCAGCGGTTCACGACTATAATCCCAGCAGTTGGGGAGGCCTAAGGTGGCAGAGGTCGGGAGTTCAAGACCAGCCTGACCAATATGGAGAAACCCCATCTCTACTTAAAAAATGCTAAATTAGCTAGGTGTGATGACGCATGCCTGTAATCCCAGCTACTCGGGAGGCTCAGATAGGAGAATCACTTGAACCCGGGAGGCAGATGTTGCAATAAGCTGAGATCGTGCCATGCACTCCAGCCTGGTGACAGATCAGGACTTCATTTCAAAAAACAAAAAAAAAGAAAAAGAAAAACATTGCAAACTAAACTATACTTTTTTTCCACTTGAAATTTTTACTTTATATCTACTGAAAGAATTCTTTGATTCAATTATATGGTTATTATGTATAATTCTGGTGCCTAATAAAAATGAAAATCACTTTTTTTTTGAGACAGTTTCACTCTTGTTGCCCAGGCTGGAGTGCAATAGCTCAGTCTCAGCTCACCCCAACCTCTGCCTCCCGGGTTCAAGTGATTCTCCTGCCTCAGCCTCCCGAGTAGCTGGGACTATAGGCGTGTGCCACCATGCCTGGCTAATTTTGTATTTTTTTAGTAGAGAGGGGGTTTTCCAGGTTGATCAGGCTGGTCTCGAACTCCTGACTTCCGCCCGCCTCAGCCTCCCAAAGTGCTGGGATTGCAGGCATGAACCATTGCGCCTGGCCGAAAATCACTTCGTGATTGGGAATCATCAGTGTCTTTGTTTATCCCCATGGCATTCTTCTCTGTGTCATCAAGAGTAAAGCTGTTTACTCTTTACTTTTTACATAAAGAGTAAAAAAGTACAGGCCAGATGCAGTGGCTCACACCTGTAATCCCAGCACTTTGGGAGGCTGAGGCAGGCAGATCACCTGAGGTCAAGAGTTTGAGACCAGCCTACCCAACATGGTGAAACCTTGTTCTGCTAAAAATACAAAAAAATTAGCTGGGTGTGGTGGTGTGTACACCTGTAGTCCCAGCTACTTGGGAGGCTGAGGCAGGAGAATCACTTGAACCCGGGAGGCAGAGGTTGGGGTGAGCTGAGACTGAGCTATTGCACTCCAGCCTGGGAAGAGAGGGAGACTCCATCTAAAAAAAAATGGGTATTAGGCAGCATTTTCTTTTTTTAGAGACGGGATCTCGCTTTGTTGCACAGGTTGTAGTGCACTGGCATGACAGTAGTTCACCGCAGCCTGCCTGACCTCTGCAACATAGAATCCATCTCTACAAAACAGTAATAATAAATAAACAAAAGAATTTTAAAAACCACCTAAAACCTGCTCTTAAGTGAACTTTGCAATTAGATAGAACTAATCCGTTCTTGTTTCCAGCTTTGGAACATTTCCTAGTACATCTGAGTCATCACTTTTCCCCCCACTCTACTATTGTTCACCAGATTTCTTTCCAGCTACTAACACCTATTCTACAAATTTTGATACTGGCCTTCTTAATGTTCTCACATGTTCAGTCAATGACAATTATGTCTTAACCACTGCCTGGTTGAGAGCACTTGTAAGATGTCATCAATTATAAGAAAAATCCCAATTGCACAGATGTTAAAAGGTAAAAAATGAGTGTCTAAGAATCAGTGAAATACGGTATGAAATTCTCAAACATGAGAATCTTTGAAGACCATGTCATGCAAGGTAGCTACAAAGGATAGAGGAGGATACCAAAGTCAGAAAAAAAAAAAAAAAACTGGTCACATATACTATTTTAAAAATGTAATCATTTTTAACTACACAAATTCATTCTGATATAAAAAAATTCACACAAGTAATAGGAAACATGTCAAATCTGGCTCACAGCTTAACTTCATCTGACTTGTGACCCATTTTTCAAAGTTAATTATCCTTAGATCAACTTTCCCATTTTACTATTAATACAGTTGTATACATAGAAGAGATTCCCAGTGGAAAGAACAAGTCTTGGTGTCCTACTAGGAGCATCTGAATGGGAGCAAGTAATATGAAATGGGTGGGACTGGGCATTTTGAAAGGGAAGTGCGGCTTGGTGCAGTGGTTTATGCCTGTAATCCTAGCACTTTGGAAGGCCAAGGTAGGCTGATCACCAGATCAAGAGATGGAGACCATCCTGGCCAACATAATGAAACCCCATCTTTACTAAAAATACAAAAATTAGTCGGGTGTGATGGCACGCACCTGTAGTCCCAGCTTCTCGGGAGGCTGAGGCAGAAGAGTCACTTGAACCCGGGAGGCACAGGTTGCAGTGAGCTGATATTTCGCGACTGCGCTCCAGCCTGGCGACAGAGCAAGACTCTGTCTCTAAAAAAAAGGGATGTGCGTGCCTCAGAGAAATTGTTCATTAATTCATTGGACAAATATTTATTGAGTTACCTACTATATAAGGCATATATAAAGGTAAAAAGATTTAAGCTTCCCATTAATATTTAAGTGCTTGTTACAGAATTTTGTTTATGATGGTTTTGGTGATAGTGTAGTAAAGAAGTGGCTATGACAGAGATGATGGATGGAC